GCCTCCCAAGTAGCTGGGACCACAGGCGCCCGCCACAACGCCCGGCTATTTTTTGGTTGCAGCCATCATTGTTGTTTGGCGGGTCCGGGCTGGGGCATCTGGCTCTTGATAGACTCCCTGTGGTTGGAGCTCAGGAGCAGTGAGAGAGTCATGGAGGGTGAGCTCAAGAAGTGGGCAGAGGACCAGGCGTGGTGGCTCACACCTGTAATCCTAGTACTCTGGGAGGCCAAGGCAGGTGGATTGCTTGAGCTCACGAGTTCCACACAGCCTGAGCAAAAGCAAGACCCCATCTCTACTAAAAATAGAAAAACTGAGGCAAGAGGATTGCTTGAGCCCTAGTTGGAGGTTGCTGTGAACAATGATACCATGGCACTCTACCCAGGGTGACAGCTTGAGACTGTCTCAAAAAAAAAAAAAAGAAGAAGAAGAAAGAACAGAGGCCTGGTCACCAGGCTCCACAGGTGTAAGGAAATGTCTGGATTTTGTTCTCAGTTAGCCACTGACGGTTTTTGAAGACTAGCTAGGAGATGGTTGCCGTTGTCCAGGCAGGAGGTAAGGGTGACTTACCTTGGGTTGGTGACAGTGGAGGTGGAGAGACAGAGGGAGGTGAAGATATGTTTCTGGGTAGGCCTGCTGAAGGGTTGGAGGATATCTGGGGAAAGCGAGGTGCCAGGGATAGTCTCTTCTTTCCATGTGCAATCAGTAGGACCATTCTTTAGGTAGGGAAGGGACCAAGTTTGTGAGGGGAGGGTTGAAAGGCTCCTACTGAGCACTGTCTTCTCTCCACAGCTGTCCTCTTTGACACAGGCTCACCAGGAGGCTCTTTCCATTTTGAACAACAAGGCCGAGGGCTTGGAGAAGTCTCTGAGTAGTCTGGAAACCAGGCGGGCAGGGGAAGTGAAGGAGCTGGCTGTGGCCCAGGGGGAGGCCGAGCAGCTGCGGAAGCAGCTGAGGTAAGTGGCAGTGGGCACGAAAGAGGGGTCCAGAAGTTGGTTGTGTGGCAGGTCTCTAGGCACCCCACAGACAGTTGTCTTGTTCCTACCCCAACCCTAGCAAGACCCAAGAAGACTTGGAGGCACAGGTGACCCTGGTTGAGAATCTAAGAAAATATGTGGGGGAACAATTTCCTACCAAGGGCCACAGTCAGGCATGGGAACCAGAGCGACAGGAGCTTCTGAAAACTGTACAGGTGAGAGAGTACAGGGGTACATCTGTGTAGGGGCCGTGAGATGTGTGCCTTGGGGATCAGGTTGGGGGATGGGGTGGCCACTGGAGGAGAATATGGGGTACAGTCCCCAGGAAGGAAGGCAGTGCCTGAGGCAGGAATGGAGGCCCTACAGAGGGGCTGCTTCCCCCACACGCAGCACTTGCAGGAGGACCGGGACGGCCTGCACTCCACTGCTGAGCTGCTGCAGGTGCGGGTGCAGAGCCTCACACACATCCTCGCCCTGCAGGAGGAGGAGCTGAACAGGAAGGTAGGACTCCTCCCCTCACCCCCCCAGATCCACTCAGCCTCTGCTGGACCCTATCCCTGCTCTCCCTCCCGGTGTGCAGTAGAGGTCAGTCTGCCCCACAACCTGCCCAAATCTTTTCTTTTTTTTTTTTTTTGAGATAGAGTATCACTTTGTCACCCAGGCTAGAATGCCATAGCTTCAGCCTACTTCACAGCAACGTCAGACTCCTGGACTCTGGTGATCCTCCTGCCTCAGCTTCTTGAATAGCTGGGATCAGAGGTGGCCATCACCACACCTGGCTAATTTTTCTGTTTTTAGTAGAGATGGGGTCCCACTGTTGCTCAGGCTGGTCTCAAATTCCTGAGTTCAGCAATTCTCCCGCAGTCTCCCAGAGTGCCAGGATTATAAATGTGAGCCACAGTGCTGGCCTGCATCTTTTCTTTCTGAACTCTTTTTCCTGCTCTGTCTCCTATTGCTCAGGCAGGACAAAGAAGAAACAAACATGCCTTCTTCTACTCCCCCAGGATCTCACACTTTCCTCCCCTTCCTTCCACCCTCAGGTTCAACCTTCAGATTCCTTGAAACCAGAGTTTACCAGAAAATGGCAGTCATTGCTGAACCGCTGGCGAGAGAAGGTGTTTGCCCTCATGGTGCAGCTTAAGACCCAGGAGCTGGAGCACAGGGACTCTGTTAAGCAGCTGAAGGGACAGGTTGCTGCACTCTCTTTTCTTCCTATGTTCTGCCCACATGCATCCAATTCCTTGCTCCTTCCATAAGAATGGTATTCATTCAGAAAATATTTATTACCTGGTTACCACCTTAAACAAAACAGACAAGTCCCTGCTCTCATGGAGTTTGTATTCTAGAGCTGAAACACAAAAATGTACAAGTGAACAGATAATGTCAAATAATTGTATATGCTGTAAAGAAAAATTCTGACACAGACTGAGAGTGGATCTGCCTCAGCTAAGATGGTTAGGGACAGCCTGAGGAGGTGACAGCAGCATCTGAGGGTAGGTGGCATAGGTGTGGGCACATGGAAAGTGCTTCTGGAAGGAACATTGAAACCAGACTCCATTCTCAGGAACCTAAGCTTCTATCTTCCTGTATGCCATTCTGCAAGACCTCTGCACCTGACCCTTCACTCCCTGAGCCCTCCTCAACTTCCACTCTGGAGATCCCTGCCCAGCTTCTTCTCTTTCCCCAGTTGGCAGAGCTCCAGGAGCAAGTGACAGCCCAGAGCCAGGAGCAGGCCATCCTGCAGCGCTCCCTTCAGGACAGAGCCACAGAGGTGGAGGTGGAGCGGATGGGTGCTAAGGTCTGTGTGTGAGCCAGGCAGAGATTCAGTGAGGGCAGCTGGTCCTTAGGAAAGGACCCTGTCCTTCACCACATCCTCCCCAGGCCCTGCAGATGGACCTGAGCCGTGCCCAGGAGGCCAGGCGCCGATGTCAGCAACAGACAGCCGTGGCCGAGGAGCAGCTAAAGCTTGTGGCCAATGCTGTCAGCAGGTATCTAGGGAGGAGGGATGGGTGGAATAATATTTCTGCTCTATACTTCCTGGGCACTTTGTAGTTAAGGAATAAGGAGGGGCTAGGTATGGTGTCTCACACCTGTAATCCTAGCGCTCTGGGAGGCTGAGGCAGGAGAATTGCTTGAACCTAGGAGTTTGAGACCAGCCTTGGGAGTAGTGTCTGTCTCTACAAAAAACAAAAACATTAGCCAGGCATGGTGGCAGGCACCTATAATTCCACTTACTTGGGGGAGGAGTATCATTTGAGCCAGTGAGTTTGAGGTAGCTGTGAACTAGGCTGACACCCCTGCACTCTACCCTGGGTAACAGAGTGAGACCCTGTCTCCAAAAAAAAAAAAAGAACAAAAGAACCAGAAGGGACTGGCAAGCTGATCACTGGAAGATGATAGAGGACTGGATGTATTTAGCCCTGTGAAAGTTTCTGAGTGTGTTTTTTCCTGGAGCAGTCCCTTCCATGTTCACACTGTGATCACTTGTTAAGAATTCCTGCTGCATGTTGGGCTGGAGGTAAGGCTGTACTTCCTCCTGCAGTTGGGTCTAGTAGCATCTTGAGCTAAATAGAACACATGGGAGGCTGGGTGTGGTGGCTCATGCCTGTAATCCTAGCACTTGGGAGGCTGAGGCAGGTGGATTGCCTGAACTCACAGATTTAAGACCAGCCTGAGCCAGAGTGACACCTTGTCTCTGAAAATAACCAGGCGTTGTTGTGGGCCCCATAGTCTCAGCTACTCAGGAGGCTGAGGCAAGAGAATCGCTTGAGCCCAAGAGTTTGAGGTTGCTGTGACACCACAGCACTCTACCAAGGGTGGCAAAGTGAGGTTCTGTCTGGAAAAAAAAAAATAGAACACATGGGAGGGTCTTTACCTTCAGAAATGTTCAGGATGGGAACTGTGGATACTTGATCTTCTTCATTTCTTTCTCTAGTAAAATTTACAGGCATGCCCTCTTGGAAAATATTTTACTCTATTTAAAGCAATATATTTACTTGCTTACTAGATATTTCATCCAAAATGTCAGTTGTCTTCTAAATCAATTGCGAGCCACTTGGTGTCTGTCATACCAACTTCCTAGTTTTTCATCACTGATAATTGTTATATAACCTTTAGAAAGACCTCTAAGGAAAAACCAAAGCTTCCTAGTGCTGGTGATGACCTCTCCTTAGCCTTGAACATCGAGGTACCTGGGCAGGTCATTGGTGTAGAGTTCTTTTTTTTTTTTTTTTGA